CCAGCACATTTGAAGAATGTTGCTTTGAAAGTAAATAGTCGACCGCCTTTGTACTGCATAAAAAACCTGATGCTGACCCTGACAGCTCTTCACAAAACGGTCTGGTCGACTCACAGAATTCGGACTCATTTTCAGAGCAGCAATCAGCGGAAGATCAATCAAAGGAATTTCAGAGTGAGGAGTCGTGCGATGAGTCTCAAGATGTCTACTACATACCATGTTATGAACCGGGTGCATATATAGAAGTTTCTGATGACAGTGTCAAAAGTGAGCAACACTCAGGCTTCCAGTTGGGTCGGATGATCAGAAAAGCCGCCGTTTGGTTAAGGGGCAAGGAAGCTAATCTAAATCATTTGCCAACCTGTTAAGAGGGGCTTGACGAAGATGATGATGATGAATGCAAACACGAAGTTAATGATGAAGGCAAAGACGAAGTTGATGATGAAGGTGGAAACGAAGTTGATGATGAAGGCAGAGACAAAGTTGATGATGAAGGTGGAAACGAAGTTGATAACGAAGGTGGAGACGAAGTTAATGATGAAGGTGGAAACGAAGTTGATGACGAAGGTGGAGACAAAGTTGATGACGAAGGTGGAAACGAAGTTGATGACGAAGGTGGAGACGAAGTTGATGATGAAGGCAAAGACGAAGTTGATGATGAAGGTAGAAACGAAGTTGATGACGAAGGTGGAAACGAAGTTGATGATGGAAGTGGAGACGAAATTGATGCTGAAAGTGGAAACGAAGTTGCGGATGAAGGCAGATAAGAAGTTGATGATGGGCAGAGACGAAGTTGATGGTGAAGTCAGAGATGAAGTTGCCGCAGGATGAGGGCAGAGACGAAATGGAAGATAATTACGACGAAGAGAGATAGGAACTGAATTTTTGCACCGTGCTTGTCAATTTGAATTTATACTTTTTGTGAATCGGTGTTTTGTTTTTAATCCTAAAATTTTTAATTCTGAAAAAATTTAAGCAGCGGTTTCTTAATAGTGTTATTGAACTTAAATCTTTCAACAAGATAATTCAGCTCATAATTGAACATCGATGGTTGAGTAATTATTCAAATATAAATTTCACAGATAAACAATGCTTAAAAATCAACTTAGTTCAGTCGTTCTCACCGATTATTTTTGTTTAAGCTAACTGATCAAATTAATAAAAAATATCAGGTATCTGGATTGAAAAATATTCATAAAAATAAACGAGTGTTCGATAATCTTGCAAGACTCTCTTAAACAAGATTTCAGCGAACAATTTAGTTGGAATAAAATCTTTTCCTGATAATGTGAATACATAGTTTTATGCAAAATCAGTATATTTCATAGCTGTCTATGATGAAGAATGGGCCTGTCATTAATACGGTGTAAAATAGAGCAGTGCACCTACTCTCGCTGAAATAATGTTAAACTCTTCAGCACGTCTAATGTGTACGAAAAACGCTCCATTCATTAAACCTGCCAATGTCTTATGTAGAAATTAGTGAAAATATAATTTTAAACTGTAATTTTTTTAAAGTGGTAATTTCTATGTGTATGTTTCATCTAGCTATCTGTTCAGCCATTCATTCATGTATTTATTCAACGGGTATTGATAATTTATATTCCATGCGTGGATCACGAAAAACGAAATAAATAGGCTGGTATCATCCATAAAGCGAAATAGTTTTATGATACCAGCCTAGTCGCAAGAACAGGAACATTTTCATGTATTATTTCTTGTGAATCATTTCTGATCGACTTGTTGCGTGAAAATCACTGATGGTGAAAGCATGATTCTACTCAATACCAATGCCTCATTTATATTTTTATTGATGCGGTGCGTGCCTAACATGCTAACGAAAAATCGTTCTGAATTGAGGCGAACTATAAGGACTGTCTCTTATACACATCTAGATGTGTATAAGAGACAGGGATTACCTCACAAACATTGAGACGAACTAAGGATTACCTCACAAACATTGAGACGAACTAAGGATTACCTCACAAACATTTAGACGAACTAAGGTTTGCCTCACAAACATTTAGACGAACTAAGGATTGCCTCACAAACATTTGCTTGATGTAAACATGTGGAAATCATCAATAACTTGAACATTGCTAAAAGTTACAATCACTTTTACCAGTTATAATACATGATATTTATTCGCATCGCACACGCGTGTGTAAAGTATAATACGAAGTGACATGAACAATAAAGAATCAAGTTAAAGTATTAACACAAATGAGAACATAAGGTATCAGTATTAATAATGAAAGTAAAAAGTAAGTCTCTTTTGCATGTGTTGAAATTTTTGTGCAGGAACCTCGTGCTTCATATCCTCATTTAAAGTATGAATCTTCAGAGATTGATTTGTTTAAAGTTGTTGTATTTCGTGGAAAACGAGCAATTAGTACCATGACATTATAACTATTTGAAGCTTGAATCACATTAACAACAACTTTTTAATTAAACACACGCGTGTTATTGTCTTCCTTGATGACCTGTGACCGAATTCTGCAAGCAATAAAAAGGCTTTGCCACGTCTGGTAAATTTATTTATGATTTCAAATGTCTTGATTTTTTTATAAAAATTTTCTTGTTCAACCTTGCCGGCTTTTAATTTGAGAACGCTTGCGTACGTATTATCTCATGAAATAAATGGTTCTGGGAAATGATTTAGTTTTCAGTTATGTAATTAATTAAAGTATAATTTACAATGAGGTTAGGGTAATTAATTCAACTAATTTATTTGGAATATATACTTTATTGAAATACATATGTAATCCTCTGTAAATATTTTGCCCAAATATTTCACTTTAAAATCTCTGTTTTTCTTCAATGCAAAAGTTACGTTTGCATATTTGAATTTGCAAATCATAATATTTATCTATTATATAAATAGCGGCACAAACACATTACTTTTGGTGTTTTTTCCAAAATTATTGATTAATTGAAAATCGAGAAAAATGTATAAATTAACCTGTACTCGCTGAAATAAGAAATTCGGAATAGAATTATGATTTGCTCATTCATTAATCATTCATCTTACGCCTAAGTATAGTATAGTATAGTATAGTATAGTATAGTATAGTATAGTATAGTATAGTATAGTATAGTATAGTATAGTATAGTATAGTATAGTATAGTTTTACATTCAAATCAGCAATACCATCCCTTGTCTTGCACTTCGAACTAGCATACAAGAAAAAGGCTTTCGGGTTCTTTTTCGAGTTTTTGGCAACGTCTCTTTCAAAATTTTTGACTGCTGTGCGACAAGCTTTTTTAGCTTGATTTCGAGCTCTTGCACACAGGTTATACTCAGCATCGCTCAGCAAGTAATTCAGTTGAGGTCATGATAATAATCATACTATTTATCAATAATCAGTCATACTAGTAATCAGTGAGGATTCCAAATAATCATTGATGGCTTACATTTATTTGCCTTATGTCCAACAAAATATGTTAATATCTATGTTAACATTCATGTGAAGGTAAATCAAACCCTGGTTGCAATACCCGTGGAGTTTTAATTTCTGTGTGAAAATATGAAATTCACGTGCCTGGGACATGCAGTCCGGAAATACGTGAAATAATTCTAAAATTCTAATGGTCTTCTGGTATGAATTTATTCAAATTACTTTTTTGAGTGTTTAGGTCTTCTTTTGCTGCCAAATCATTCAATGTGTGATAACTGGGGATACCATCTGTGATACATGATACCATCTGTCACACATGATACCACCTGCCTCACATGATACCACCTGTGGTGAACGATACCCCTACCGATACATGATACCACCTGCCCCACATGATACCACCTGCCCCACATGATACCACCTGCCCCACAGTGCACACACCTGTACTGCATGTCTCCAGGTATCTGGAAACAAGTGTTCGGCTGATGTCTCAGCTGACACACCCCTGCTGCTTACCCCAAACCCAAGTGCAGGTTAGCGTCAGTTATTGTTGTCGCGAGCCGCGGTTCGGTGTTGGCGTCTCTCGAATCTCGAGTGAAAATTAACAACAGTAGTAAGATTTTTTACCGTTAAGCAGCTAGCCTAAGAAAACCAAAATTTTTTCGACTGTAAAACTGGCCTGGAAGATTTCGTAGGTTTTATCGCTCTCTCAGCGAGAAGCCTTCAGTTTTTTAGTTACATTTAATGTAGTTTCTGTTATTAAGTTTAGGCCATAACCATATTGCAAATGAACGGAAGAGCACGGCGTGAAGACACTGAATTTTTAGCCCTAGCTAGCTAAGCTTCATACAAGCTTCTCATTTTTATGGCCAAGGGAAAAACACGGAGAATTTTCGATCTTTCGTTATTATCTAAATGAGAAGCAGTGGGACCGACAGTTTTCCCTACCTTACTTTATGTCCCTCAAAGTTTTCATTTGTTACGCATTTCTTCACATTACTCACGATTCCTTTCTCATTCGCGCTCAGGTAAAATTGTGAAACTTAATCACATTACCGTTGAAACGAAACGCGAATGACAACTAAACCTTTATAGGATACAGAATACAACCATAATGTAATTGAAATTATTTGTGCAATTAAGTAATGACAAGCAATCCGAAATACATTGAACATAAGCAATATTAATTAATAAAATTGGATTTAAGATAATAGAAATGCACAAGTGACGAGTGAATTCCCATAAATCATTAATATATGATAAAAAATACCAGCCTCATATATAGAAACATTTCGTCGACAAAATCACGGGCCATTTAAGGTTTAAAAAAAACTCTTAAAAAGCTCTTTTTAGCGCATTTTCTCATTTACGGAAAAAAACGCTTTTGTGCTACCATGTCCGTCTGTCTATCTGTCTGTCCGTCCGTGACCTCAAGTTTTCGTCGACGAGACAATGCGCTCTCTGTCACTCACTGCAGTGAGAACTGAGTTATATTTTTTTAAGTTTCGTTGGACCAGCGCGAGGGCGACGCGTGTACGAGTTCAGTCGTCCAGCCCACCTGAACAAGCAGCGCCCAGTTGAACAGGTGGCAGAACAAGGAACATGTCGCCCTACGCCGCCGTGCGACCCTTGCACCGCTTATTTTTGTGTGTGATCGCCTCCTGCACCATCGTCACCATCACGCTGCTCTGCAGGGAGAACGTGTGAGTTGTAGAATAGAATAGAATAGATTAAAATATGAATAGAATAGAATAGAATAGAAGTGTCGGCGTTGAAGAAATAGGCCCATGGCCTGTTGCAGATTCTTGAACTTTTCGTGACTTGATTCACAAGGGAGCCGGCCTTTGGAACCCGATCTTTCCATAGCTGACGATTGATTGAGTGAGATAGCTGCTGGACTTATTGCCTGGTCCTTAATTTGCTAGGCATTTTAAGACTGAACATTTGCTCCTGCATAGCTTCGTCTAGAGTTATGTTCATATCACAATGAAAGCTTGGTGAAACGGAAGCCTGCACTTAAAAGCCATTATTTGTTTATAAGCTACTGAACATTTTGAAAATATTCATCTAAATTAACGCATAATTCTTCTCACATTGAACGAGTTGAATATTATTGTCAACTTCAGTGAATGCAAAATTTGCTCATGTTTTTTTAGCTAAAATCCTTGTTCAAATTATTTATATTATGTTTTTTACTTCAACTAAAATGCCAGAAGAACATCGACAAACTTTTCTAAAGGCATTTGCACACCATTAAGTTATTCTTTTCTACAAAGTTTCTTAATTCCGCGCTCGCTTTTTAGCGCATTTTCTCATTTACGGAAAAAAGGCGCTATTGCGCTCGTCATGTCCGTCTGTCTATCCGTGTATTCGCGGACGGACGGACGAGAAAATGCGTTCTCTGTCACTTACTGCAGTGAGTACTGAGTTATATTTTTTTCAAAAAGTATGGACATTTTTCTCTATTTCTCAGGTCAGAGCAGAAATCTGCGGTGCCTCGTCTCCTCTCCAGTGAGTGCGCACTAGTTAACTAGGCACCGCTCACAAGTCTCTTCTCTAGTGAATGCGCACTAGTTAGCTAAGCACCGCTCACTGGCCATATATATTCTACACCAAACTTATCTTCCATTCGTCATTTGGTATTTCATTACAAACTTTTATCAATAGAATTGTTTATGTATTACTAAGTAGTCGCAGGTCTAGAAAGCTTTGCAGATACAGACGGCGTCGAAAGATGACGATGAATGCTTCGTATGATCATTGTTTGATGGCGTGTATATGCCAAACTGTTTAGTATCGCTAGTCTGCCGCAAGTAGCGAAGAACTATTGGAATACTGCGGATAGCTTTAATTAAAATATGCATTTTTTAAAACTTCTACGAATTATAGTATGCAGGCACATTTTTTAAGCTTGCAATTATTTACTAAATTTATTTGTAATGCAGTACTCATGTGTTTATGATCCACCTCATTGTTCATGTTATCAAATCCATTACATTAAACTCGTCAGCGTAAGGCCGATACCGATTTATCAATAAAAGTTTCCGACAAACTTAATATTTTATGCCTTCAATATACCCATGAAAACGATTCTAGTTTTGAAACGGCAAAAAAATATTATAAGGCGCCATTAACACAAATTTTATCTCATATTCACTAAAAAAATAGCAGATTACATTATTAAGAACCTGAAGCTTTGCTTGGTACTCGTACGGTCCTCGACCCACAGACGACCATGAAGACCAGTCCTCCCGTCGTCATGGCAACGCACGCGAGGTGGGGGAGGAGAAAAATACCCCCCTTACCTCACCCCCTCCGCCAATTTTGAACTGGCACAATTTTTTTGACTTCATAGAAGAGGCAGCTGGCTGCAGCAATCTGGTGAGTAGAGGCAGCTGGCTGCAGCAATCTTGTGAGTAGAGGCAACTGCTGCAGCAATCTTGTGAGTAGAGGCAGCTGGCTGCAGCAATCTTGTGAGTAGAGACNCTAGAAAGGACAAACTATTGTTCGATTCAAGTTCCATAGTAAATTTAATAGAATTATGTTGCAAGTTTAGGTAATCAAAGAAAAGTTTTACATGAGAAGGATGCTTGAAAATAAGGAAGGTGTCATCGACGTATCTGTTATAAAAAATTGGCTTAAAATCAGGAGGACAATTGGTCAGCCATGAAACCTCGTGAAAACACATAAAAATATTCGCAAAGGTTGGGCCGAGGGGAAGACCCATGCCCAAACCGCCAATCTGTTTGTAAAATTTACCAGCAAATATGAAAATCAAATTTAGAACTGATAATTTTAGCAGGGATTTAAAATAATTGCGGTTCAAACCAATAACAGTATGATAAATATCATTAAACAGAGTATTCAGACTGATCTCTATAGTTTCAAAAATCGGTATATTTGTAAATAAATTTTCTACGTCAAAAGAGGCCATTGTTAAGCCCTGAACATCAGTAAAATCTTTCAAGCGGTCAACAAAAGTATGAGAATTGCCTAATATATACTGGTTAGTTGTAAGACAGTTTAAGACAGGAACTAAAAATTTAGCCAGTTTAAAACTAGGGGTATTATATGCGGCAAAAATTGGTCTGAATTGATACTTTGGTGCAAAATCAGCCTTATGAATTTTAAGTAAGCCATATAAAATCCCAGGGCATGAACCGGAGGCGTAAAGTTTAGAGTACGTATCAGATGAGAAGGCAGACGAGTCCTTGAGTTTTCGCAGAAAGCTATTGATTTTATCTTCGATTTTCAAAACAGTTTTAGAGATTGGATCGGTAATTTCGACAAATTTAGAATGATCGGTGATGAGTGCAGTAAGGCTACTGTTATATCGACTACGATCAACCAAAACCACGCCCCTGCCCTTGTCAGGTTTACACATGATCAAGTCTTTGCCGTCTTTCGGAGAAGATCACAGTATTTTCTAAAGAGGTGGCAACAATCTTCGCCGTGTTTTGATCGTACACAATTACGATCACAAGACTTCATTAGATATTGATTTCCTGGTGAAGTGTAAGGTTTATGGTGTCTTCCCCAAGTTCCTGAGATTTAAGCTTTACAAACGGTGCCTTCATAATTCAAATTTTTATAAATCGTGGCAGAATAAGCTTCTCTCCAGGGAATTATCCTCAAAGAGGAAGACGCTGAAATCTTTAACCGACTTGGCTGCCGAAAGTGAAGTGAAACTTGCTCGTTTGTTTTCCACTCTCGACGCCTTTGCTATCCGCCAACATGCTAGAGTGTCTACAGAAGCATTCAGGAAAGTTACCAGCCAAACACATCAAAGGAAACTCAGTAACCTCGGCATCCACAACGAAATTCATCCTATTGACCAAGATAAGGTGGTGTTCAACTATAGTTCTTTCAACTTGGAACCCCGTATCAAATTCTTGCTGGCTTTTGGCCTTGATTTTTGTCTGCCAATTTTTAAGTTGGACTTTTATAATTTTTTTAGCATTTGAAAGACTAGCTCTCAGCATAAAGATTGTTCCTACTCCTAACCGCCCAGAGTTTCTTAGGAACTTGCAGAGCTTGGCCTATCGTCATTTTTACGGCTTAAAGTCATATAAATTTATTTCCTCTGTATTTCAGCCCAGTGACACGCTTTTATTGAAAAACTTGGCCAAAAATAAAGATTTGATCATTTGTAAACCTGACAATGGCAGGGGCGTGGTTTTGGTTGATCGTAGTCGATATAACAGTTGCCTTACTGCACTCATCACCGATCATTCTAAATTTGTCGAAATTACCGATCCAATCTCTAAAGCTGTTTTGAAAATCGAAGATAAAATCAATAGCTTTCTGCGAAAACTCAAGGACTCGTCTGCCTTCTCATCTGATACGTACTCTAAACTTTACGCCTCCGGTTCAACGCCTCCGGTTCATGCCCTGGGATTTTATATGGCTTACCTAAAATTCATCAGTCTGATTTTGCCTCAAAGTTTCAATTCAGACCAATTTTTGCCGCATATAATACCCCAAGTTTTAAACTGGCTAAATTTTTAGTTCCTGTCTTAAACTGTCTTACAACTAACCAGTATACAGTAGACAATTCTCATACTTTTGTTGACCGCTTGAAAGATTTTACTGATGTTCAGGGCTTAACAATGGTCCTTTTGACGTAGAAAATTTATTTACAAATATACCGATTTTTGAAACTATAGAGATCTGTCTAAATACTCTGTTTAAGGATATTCATGATACTGTTATTGGTTTGAACCGCAATTATTTTAAATCCCTGCTAGAATTATCAGTTCTAAATTCTATTTTCATATTTGCTGGTAAATTTTACAAACAGATTGGCGGTTTGGGCATGGGTCTTCCCCTCGGCCCAACCTTTGCAAATATTTTTATGTGTTTTCACGAGGTTTCATGGCTGACCAATTGTCCTCCTGATTTTAAGCCAATTTTTATAATAGATACGTCGATGACACCTTTCTTATTTTCAAGCATCCTTCTCGTGTAAAACTTTTCTTTGATTACCTAAACTTGCAACATAATTCTATTAAATTTACCATGGAACTTGAATCGAACAATAGTTTGTCTTTTCTAGACTGCAATATTACTAAATCTAATGGCCGTTTTCAAACATCTGTTTACAGAAAACCAACTTTCACCGGCCTAAGCACAAGGTTTTTTAGTTTTTTGTTCTTTTAGATTCAAGTTATACGGGCTTCAAACACTATTACACCGCAGCTTTCGTATATGCTCATCTTTCCATTCCATGCATTCTGAATTTGAATTTTTGCGCAATATCTTCTCGCTTAATGGATTTCCTTCTGGCTTGGTGTTTACCCAGATTAAGAAATTCATGTCTAAGCGATACAGTGAAGTTGTTCCAGAGCCTGATAGTAGAAGCGTTGTTTACTGTTCTATTCCATACTTCGGCCATGCGTCCGAAGTTATGTCAAGAGAATTAAAAGTTTTGTTTATGAAATACTTCCCGGACATTAATCTTCGTATCTTACTGGTGAATAATTTCAAAATAGGTTCGTTTTTTAGGTACGAAGATATCCTTCCTTCTCATATGTGATCGTCCCTAGTTTATAAATTTAGTTGTGCACGATATGCATCTGCGTACGTTGGGATGACGGCACGCAACTTTTACACTAGGGTCGCTGAGCATAGAGGGAGGAGTTATAGGACTAGGCAGTTACTATCGCGCCTCCTCATTCGGCTGTGCGCACTCACGCCGAACAGTGCAACGTTCCAGTGTAATTTACACAGACACAGACTTTAGGGTTTTAGCTTATAGTTCTGATGATTCTGATCTGCGTATTTTGGAATCATTGTATATTTTTAAAGAGAAGCCTTGTTTAAATGCTGCCAATAGTTCTTATCTATCAGAAATTGTGAATAGATAGGTACTTACTTTATTATTCTGCCCGTTGTCTGCAAATTTAGGTTTTTAACTTCTTTATTTTTTTATTAACTCCAAACTAATTTTCTGCCTTTATCCGTGTTCTAGATTTATCGAACTGACGATTGAGCTGGTCTCCGAAACGTTTTCAATAGAGATATCCTAAATTTTTGTGGTGTTTTCTTCGCTTTTAAATTTCTAGTGAATCTGCGATTAAAGCAATCTAGTGACTATTACATTAATATATCAATTGCGCTCCCAGGAAATGTTCATATATTCATAGGTATATTTGTTTACATTTTATAACAATATATACAATATTTCATATATTCATACGAGTGCAATTAATTTTAGGAGTTTTTTCCTGCCATCATGTGTCTTTGTTTTCGGGTCTTCAAATATTGATCCGGTGTATAATTCTTTGGCTTTCTGACACATCTTGAAACTTAAAAAACTAACTCCAAAAAGAGTTGACTAAATTATACCATTTGAATAAATGTTACTGTATTTTTACTTGCTTTACTAGTCCAATTGTGTAAGGCAATCTTGATTACTCGTACAAAAGATTATTTCCGGCTTAAGATTTTTTAAATATATTAATTCCTCTCCCAGGAAATGTTGGGAGGCATCATGGTAGGGGAGGTGAGGGACGGCGACAAGGCCGTGTGTCTGGACAATGGCGTCGCCCCCACACCGGGCGCCTGCCTCGTCCTGTCCTTCGGCATCAACAACGAGTGGAGCTTCGATGACGCCATGGAGGAGTACGGCTGCAGGGTGACTTATTTGCCTTATTGATTCTTTGCTGTATTTGAGTGGAGCTTCGATGACGCCATGGAGGAGTACGGCTGCCGGGTGACTTATTTGCCTTATTGATTCTTTGCTGTATTTGAGACCCAGGGGTTTAGTGCAGGGTGGCCCAGTGGTTACAGTTCAGAGTACCAGGATTGGTGCAGATGCGCGGGTTCGATCCCAGCTCTGTGCGCCAGTTTCAGGTCAGAATCGGCGAGGAGGCCGGGCAGTTAAGCAAATAAAATTTGAAGCAGTGAGTTGCGCGTTCGAGACCGCAACAAGCTGTGAATATTCTGCAATGTTAAGAATCGGGGACAGGCCTACGGCCTAGTAAACGCTGAAACCGGTATTATTATTATTTAATTTCTACTGTGACAGCCAGCGCTACAACAAAAATGTTTCCATTTAGTAACTGGAAGTACCCAGACTTAAATGTTGAAAAACTGTTTCATTGGTTTGACATTCGCCGGTATTAATTTAGCTTCAACTGTTCCAATCGCTCTAAATTTCAACCTCTACCGCCTGACATGAGTAACTGGAGCAATATTGTCACAAGCCTACTATCCAAAAAAAGGATACGTTCTAGTGAGCGCAAAAATGACTTGCACTGATGGTTGCCGCCACGTACGACAACTTTAAAATGTTCCCTGTTGCGAGAAAACGTCCTCAAGTTGCTACACTCAATAGTTTACGTATAATTTAAGTTGAACGTTATGTTCCCGGAAAGTGACATACGGCGGTAGAAGGTTAATTATTATAAAGTGCCACAGAATTCAGTGAGTGTTAAGCGATATTTAATTAGGACAAACTCCCTCGTATGCGGTGAGTGTTAAACAACATTTAAAAGCGCTTACGGGTTTATAAATGAACGAAAATTGCAGAAAGTTTGCACACGTTTACTTACAATGTGCTAGATGACACGAATATTCACTAATAACTTTCATTTGCCTATTACAGGTGTACGCGTTTGACCCGACCATGGGGCAGCCGACGCACCTCAGGGGGCGCGACATCCACTTCCATCCATGGGGCCTGGGGGCCGTGAATGGGGTCATAAGAGGCATACCGGTAATAAAATAGGCTCTTAAATTATAATTTATTTACGCGGGCGTTTAATAGAGTAAAAATCTCACACCAATTATATTCTACCAAAGTATATTACAACGCGTAGGTCGAGTCATTCCGAACGGGAAAATTAAAGAGATTTATGTCGGATGTTCAAACAATGTTCAGGGAACAATAAAATCAACAAATAGCCAAAATTTAGAAAAAAATACTACTGAATTCTCGTGATAAAACAGAATTATGGAAGCATTTTGATCAAATAGTGATAGGAATCAAAATGAGTTAATTTACATAGATTAACTTTTGTATGTTATCCTAGTACGTTTGAAATTCACATATATTTAAACATCTTGCTCGATCGTGAGAAGAAGAATTTATGAGAAAACGATTTATGCTAGAGAATTTATGTCCAATGATTGGCCAGGTCAAAACCTATCGCGATATTCTAAAGAATATCCACGAAGAGGAGAGCGTCATCGACTACCTTAAGATCGACATAGAAGGTTTCGAGTTGGACTTCTTCAGCAACGTTCTTGACGAACATGTCGACCTTCTGGCGAACGTCAAGCAGATCGTCATGGAGATCCACCCGTGTGAGAGAGAGGGTTGAGCCCTGAGCATGCAGGGGCTGACATGTGAGGGGTTGATGGAGATCCACCCGTGTGAGAGAGAGGGTTGAGCCCTGAGCATGCAGGGGCTGACATGTGAGGGGTTGATAGAGATCCATCCGTGTGAGAGAGAGGGTTAAGCCCTGAGCATGCAGGGGCTGACATGTGAGGGGTTGATGGAGATCCACTCGTGTGAGAGAGAGGGTTAAGCCCTGGGCATGCAGGGGCTGACATGTGAGGGGTTGATGAAGATCCACCCGTGTGAGAGGAAGAGGATGTGAATGACATGAGGGGTTGGAAAGGGTATCGTGTTCGTGAAGAAGATACTTTTGAGAAAATAAGACTTGAGGAATCAAGGAACTACTAGTGCATTTATTCGGGTTAGATACTAAACTGAAAATCAGATGAATGTTCGGTATATCAAAAACCAAAGTTAATAAAATCGATTCACATCCAAACGTGATAGCATCGTGCTATCACCTGAAAAATTAGATTAACCATTGAGTGTTTAATGTAGCATAAAAGAAATGACATCAAAAATTTAATAAGAAGGCAAATATTAATTAAATTCTATAGCCAAGATTATTATAATTAAAACAAGAAAAAATGCATTTCACTGTTCCAACACTCCTGAAATGATGTTTTTTACATTGCGCAGGGGAGTCGACGACGTTCCGTGACGAAATCTGGAGCCAAATTCGACGGCTGCGCAGCCTGCATTTCGCGCAGGTTTACAGCCAACCAAACTACCTGCCGTTCAACCTTCGTGAATTCGAGAACAGGACCGTGTCTTGCTGCTATGAAATGCTTTGGGTTAATGAAAAGTTCCGGTGATTCGAGAACAGGACCGTGTCTTGCTGCTATGAAATACTTTGGGATAATGAAAAGTTCCGGTGAGATTGCGGTCTCGTGTATCATGTCGGGGAAGATAGCAGGTTCCATTTCCAAATTGGTTTCTTTTAATTTATCTGAATCTTATTTATGTTTAAGTGAAATTTGTGTGTATGTATATCAGTGCATGGTTGTTAGGTTACTAATTCATTGAAAAAAATTTCCTACGTAGCGCAAAGCGGGTTATCTAATCGTTTATAACTCATTTTTATTTATTCGGTTCGCTTTACATGATATTCGGGGAGTAAGGTAGAAACAAAAAGCATTTTTGCTTTACTTCATGATTGATAGTAGGGCAACATGGGGCAGTGCCCCCCCTTTTTTTAAACTAAATTTTTATGAAGTTTTGATTGATACGAGGTGATTCTTTGTTTTGTTTAAAGGTACAACTAATGAGGAATGTATGATGTGAATTAGAGGCCTATAGAGTTATTCAATTTTTAATGAAACACTATTTTGAAAAAAAAAATGGGACCATTGCCCCACCCCTGGGGCAATGGGCCCATGGGCTTGGGGCAAGGCGCCCATCCTTGGTCCCTTTACCACAATTGCTTGTTTTTCGTTTAAAAATGATAGAACAACACTTTACAGTTAAAATCAAGAAAATGTAATAAAAAATATGACATTCATTCATTTATTAGCAACTCAAAAAATTATATCCTTAACTTGAAAAAAATATACTCTTGGCTTAAAAAATCTATCACTGACGTGAAGAAAAATATTTCATTGACATAAAAATATATATCCTTGACTTGAAAAATATATCCTTGCGATAAAAAATTCGTCCTTGACATGAAAAAATGTATCCATGACTAGAAAAAATATAATTAGTTGATCAGAAAAAAACGTCGTTCCAGTTTCGTCCATAATCCAGATATTATGTGCAGAGATTTCGTACCTAATCGTGATTTCAGCCAACACCATGAAAACTCATCAACTTTTGGCTCATTGGTGTTGACTGAAATCAACTTTTGGCAAGGCAAGAGTCAATAACTCGATAAGGGGTCATAAATACGCATAACTAGAAACTAAACCTGCTGCCTTGAGGCTGTAAATAAAAAAATCATGCACTATGAAGTGTAATTTGTAATTCAAAGAGCTAGTCATAGTTTTAAAAAGGTCATTGAGACAAATCTAATGATGTATAACACAAGACTTCACCATGGGCGCTTTGCCCCGTGACACGCGTGGGCCCGTTGCCCCCACTAGGTATCACTTCAATTTATATCGTGTCAATATTTTATTTCAAAAGCTAATAGTCTAAACTTGATCTCAAAATTATCCCTATATATATTACTTTCAAAATATAATTCACAGTAATTTCAAAAGCTTCATCTACAGTAACCAAAAACAATTTTATTTAGCAGCAAAAAAATTTCTATCTGGGCTAAAACAGTTATTCATAAATAACTTAATAACGCAAACACTTAGCAAAACGTAAATCCGTACACTTCATTCCAGTGAAACTGTCGACCGGCGGTAGAGAACACGGACCAATATCTGCCATACTTAGCGAGAAACCCGCTAAGGGCCCATGACCCGCAGTGGGCTCGCTGCCCCATGTTACCCTATATGATTGTAGGAGTAAGTGACAACATAAACTTCTGGCAGTATGCATGACTGACATTGTGAAAGTTTGGGATCGTGAATGATTGATTGCATGAATGATCATCGATCAAATGTTAAAATGAATTATTAGTGACAATGATAGTACGTCAAAATTATTCATTCAAACATGCCAGTTCTTTTAGCTTGATTAAGTAAAAGCTCCAGAGAGCATTTTGATAATATTGCTTAAATAATAAATTAATTTGATTATTCATCTAATTTTTAGCTCCCTTCACAATTTCTAACCACAATTCTCCATGGCTGAATTTCACCGTTATTTCTGACTTTTATCAAAAAACATTTGAAAAATCTCTTAAGAATAAAATTTCGATCACGATTCAATATTCTTTTTCTGAATAATACAGTGGCTAATTTCCGTTCCTTATTCTCAAAGTCGAAGGCATTGTATAGATTTTTTCATTTTATCTGTTGGAAACAATTTATTTTAATGTCGGAAATCAACCCTCATCCATAAGAAACCATTTTCAGCTGCTGGATCGGCACGATCCCGCGCTTCACTTGGCGCGTAGGTAGGATAAACACGTCCAGGAGTCAGCTGTCCACTTGGAAGCTGCCTTCCGTGTTAAAACCTAACCCAACCTAACCTAACCTAACCTGGAAATATCCACGTAAATTGATTGCTTACGCCGCCCCGGTCTGTGCATGAGACTAAGTTGTTATGTCTCTGCCTATCACCAATCATTTACCAATCGGTAAATACATTACATCATCTCCGCCACTCTCGAGTGAGAGCTTCTGGAAAATGTGGGAGCTAAGGAAGCTAACTTGCACGCTCATTATCTTCTTTATTCACGTATGTAGTAATGCATAAACATTACTTTAATTATTATCAATGTGTTGTCAGTTTAATTTGCATTGTTATCAAACTCTTCACAATAAATTTAACTTATGATTAATGTGTTCTAATATTTTGCTGCTTTTAGCGCCCAATTGCTGACTACGGACCTACATCACTTGGTTCGATGACGTAGACGGAATACAACTAGTAAATAGTGATATTAATAATAATATTAAATAGCAATATAGGTCGACTTTCTTCAAATTTCCGCCATCAACGAAATGACTAATTTTGGAAGGCCCAGAAGTAATATAAAATTTTAGTCTCGGCCATTACGGAGACGAAGGCTCTGCATATTAACTGTAAAAGATCGAACCATATTCAAACTAAAAATTGAAGCTGATGAATTAACCATGTTCAGGAACTCATACTTCATATTTAGGACAAGCAAAATCACCTTTGACGTTCAAGGATAACCTAATGTGCAAAACATCCCTCCTACTACCAGCGTGAGCGTTTTCGACCGACTGTGTTTTTTCTTCAGTGCAAATTAATATCATTTGTGGAGCGCAAACAGGGAGCAAATTAACGGAGTAATGCGTGATTTCAAGCACTCATTTCACCGCTTTAATAATGAAAGGGTGGAGGTTGGCATGTGTGCCAACGAGGAGCACAGGCGGGTTACAAGACAAGGACTATAAGTTAATAATGGAATAGAAGTGTCGGCACTGAAGAAATAAGCCCATGTCCTGTTGCCGATTCCTGAATTTTTCGTGACTTGATTCACAAGGGATCCGGCCTTTGGAACCCGATCTTTCCATAGCTGACGATTGATTGAGATGGCTGCTGGACTTATTGCCTGGTCCGTAAGTTGCTGGGCATTTTAAGACTGAACATATGCTCCTGCATAGCTTCGTCTAGTCTGTTCTTGAAGGCGTAGGTCAAGTAGAGATCAGATTCGCATTGACTGGCTAAAGCTAGGTTTATTTGTCATATGTAGTCGTTTGACGGTTTTGAGAAAAATCAGATTTAATTAAAACATTCGAAGATGCGTATCTTGGAACAATTTGTATAAAAATATAGTAGTGAATAAAGTAGGTAATATTGACAGTAGGTAATATTGAAAATGTATTATGCATAGATGTTAAGAATGCTAAGAATGCGGCGCCGTTGTTTCGAGACCGTGGGAAAGGTTGTTTACATTGAAACGTTGGCACTCAGCGCGAGGGACATTCCATTCGAAGGAATGTGGCGTCGGTTTCGAGGGAATAGGCTTAACTGTGGGCGACTCTAGCGTATATAAGGACCTGAGAATTCGCGCCAAGGGTTGTTGGTTCTAAGGAGTTGACCGTCGCCCAAGTACAGTCTGCAGTTAGCGGACGTAACGGCTGCGGCCGTGAGGCCGCGGTGTTACAGTTTTCGAACATTGACGGTCGCGAGAAAACCAGACTTATCGAAGCAGCCAAGAGTCCGGTGAGCACGTTCAAGATCAAGAATTATCATATACCGGTCATCAATAGTACGGTCACTATTTTCATCGGAAGATCTAAGTTTCGAGCTCTACACCAAGAATCATCAGTACGATACGGTCACGATTTCCATCAAGAAGAAGCGGTACGATTGCATTCATCTTCAACCGCCGAAGCACCGCATTGAGCCGAAGTAACATCATCGACGATGAATACTACGCCACTATTCTGAAGTACGGTCGTTGTAAAACAACCTACGGCCAGACTGGCCGTGTGGCATCTATATCAACGAGATACGACAGATATGAAGAAAGAGCAACTGTGAAGAGAGACGCTCGGGACAGCTGCAGTTTGGCCACTTAAAATACGGCTGCAATGCGCGGGACAGCCGCAGTACGGTCGCTGCGCGTGCGCGAGTTACGGTCGTTGACAACTGTCATACGCATTGGAACTGCAACGGATCACACACTTTCCCCGGTAATATTAGATGATTTAAATTATGATTTAATTTAACTGATAGATTTTGGGACTTTGATTTTGTGCGGATTACATTTTTCATGTACTAGAGATTTTTGTTAACGTGGGATGTGAACTTGAATTTCTCAATTTAATATGAAATGTATCAGTGTTTCATTAAAACCCTCGCTTTGTACTATATTTTGCCGGAACCTGTCCAAAAAGAGAACCTTATTCACGTGCCAATCAAGTGCCACTCGGCAAACCACCTGACAAAACGATAAGTAATGAATACCGGTATCTTGAACCTGAACCTTAACGTAACGTAAAATTGGTGGAGTAATCACTCCGATTCTCCAACTTTAAAATATATGAGACGCTAAGAAACGTCTCTCTTTCTTTTATTATATATATTTTTTCCTATTTAATCAGTAGTTGATAAGGTTTGTATCAATCGAGAATTGATGAGGCTGGAAGTTATCGTACTACGAGAACCTACATGCGCAATCACCTCAATCATATGAGCGCTTTCACGCTAATCATGCAACCGTGTCTGAAAACGATAGTCTTGATCTTGATAGATCTTGAAATAATATCAAATTTCTAATCTAAAACCTTATCTATACTTACTATACAACGCTTACAGTTCCAATCCACTTATTCGATCGATTTTTACACCATTTCACCATTTTATTTGTCACTTTAGTTTTTGATCTCTTTCATGCGAATTTAGTCTTCGACTTAACGGAAAAATAATAATAATATTTGTTAGGAATTTTATTGTACCA